CAATCGCTATGATTAACATATTTATTTTTAATTAATTAGTTAAATATTTACAACACTCATTTAAAATAACTTTTAAGCAGAAATACCAAGCAAATTGAAGAGCAAATAATAAAAAGGTATAATACAATTATAAAAGTAAAAGTATTTTTAAATGAAAAATATAAGGAAAATGTATATGCAAGTATTTTGTACAACACAAAAAAAAGACGTTGGCAAATCTATTGTTGGTGAACAATGAATTTGCTAAAGCATACTTAATTTGTTTTTACAAGAATTATTGTGAACATCTATATTTTTTTTAAAATAGAAAAGTTTGCTGAAGATATTTTATCTTCACTTCGCTTATTCTTGACACAGATAATATTAGTCTTACTAATAAAATAAAAATTAATTAAGTAATATCTGTCATATTTCAGAAAAAAATATATGAGGGATCTTAATAAAACCAAAAGATAATTTTTAGAAGTTTAAAGATGCTGACAGACAGACAGCCTGTCAGTATCTTTATTCAATTATCACACTATTAAAACTACTACACCAAATTGGATGCGGTTGTGTTCCCGAAGGTGTAACTTAAAATCTGATGTATGTTTTGTCTTGAGATCTAAACTAGAAATGGCCTGCTTGATTGGTATTCCAATTTCTGAAATCCACACGTATGAAAAACTATTGTATAATATTTTTCTAAAGATATGTTATATTATTAGAAAGTAATTGAAAAATATTACGAAAACTGCCACAGCACACGTAGACATTTAATCATATTTTCAAATAGTTAAATAGAGAATGCAATGAATAATTTTTTTACGCAACATTTAATGTTGCCTAAAAAAACAAGCTGACGGCCCATCTGATGGAAAGTGGTAACCGTCGCCTATAGACATGAGCAGTACCATGGACATAAGAGAGTATACTGTTTCGCTTATGATACCTCTCATGCGTTGCCATTCCATTCCATCAGGACTAAGGTGTTATTCCTCTGTACCCTGTAAATTCACTGCCATATTCCACGCTTCAAACCGAAACACAGCCATGCAAACATAATTGCTTCACGGTAGAAACACGAATAGGACAGAGGTGCCCAAGCAAACGACTTTTGTACAGCCTACCTCTGGTAATAGTAATAAAATAAGATAGCTAATGTTGATTATTCACGTGCAAGTGCTTGCAAATACTATAGCGATACTAATTAGTATCATCTCTACCTTAAATTTTGCTTTTAACTTACCTTCTTTATTATAATATTATAATCCATAGCGTGACCATACCATCTGTGACCCCTGCCTAATTCATCGGATAGGATCCTCCCAATATATAAATAATAAAAATTCAAAGAATTTTCAATTGATAGAATAGCCAAGTTGCGTAGATTTTCTTTATCACGATAGTTTATCTGTATAATTCGTGTATGTTCTAGAGTTAATAATCTAATTTTTAAAGTAATTAAATATTTTTGTAATAAATTAATATTCGATTCTTCCTGTGCTCACGATCTGTCGAATCACTGGCCTCCTCAGGCCGGGGACTCGTGCCATTTTGTCCATTCTGCCATCCTATTATTATGCTACTAGTTGTAATTAGTAGATACTAATTTTTTTTTTTTCAGTAAATATTACTATTAAGAATTTTAGTTTTTTTTTCCACTTTAAATTTATTACCATAGTCGAATTATAGTTCATTAAACTTTCTTGTGCCTAAAGTGAAGAATTTAATTCTTCAGTGCGAAGCATGTAATGGCAGAGTGAACTCATGTTAACTTGCCGTCAAAACATATGACGCTAACGAGTATAACACTTGGATAAATGGACAAATGCCCACACACTTGGAAAATTGGATAGTCAAACACTTGGAAAAATGGAGTTTATCTTAGAAAATAATAATACAGAATAAATGTCAGTTGAAAATAGAAATAAATTAAGAGTATTCACATTTTTTACACGTAAGTGAACATCGTGTACGAGTATATGCTAAGTGCATAATTTTTTTGTAATTTTTTTATGTACTCAGATTAAAATCAAATGTTGGATGAATCTAATCTATAACGTTTGTGTTACATTGAATGATTGCATTAATACCATGTTTATAGAAAAAAAATGATAAATTTATTTTTCTATATGTAGTAATAGACGTGTAAATTTCCTACGTGCCTATAATGTAATTATTAAAAGCAGATAAGACACAATCCAAATTATTTCAACATCACGTAACATGATGGATACCTAACTTGAGAAATATCTGCCTGTGCAATATAACTTTCTAATTTATATTATTATTTATTTGAAAGTTTAAGTAGCGGGTCGAATTGCTCTCAAATGCAATGTAATCATTTCCAGTCGTGGTTCACGCCCAATTTGTCGATAAGTCACTTTCGTCGCTACCGTTGTTTTTGCTCATTTTATCCTGTCATGAAATGTGTTCAGTATAAAAATCCATAGAACGTATTCACGTAATGATAGACTGGCAATACAATCATAAAAATGAGACAAGAAAATGGTCACCCTAATGTGCATGAGATGTCTATATTATTATTGTCTGTCTACATGTGACGTGTCTGGTTTTATAATGAATTGAAATTGTTAAAATAGTCATCTTTCCCGTATTTGTTACAATTTTTATTTCAATTCGATGACAAATTTAGAAGTTTATTTAGATATTTTTTTCTACCAACTTTTGTACAACTTTCTATGATAATTCTATAATTTTGTATTTAAAGAAATAAACGTTTACAACGTAATTTCTTGAAATATATGCAATTTTGTAACTGTGACAATATCTTAACGATTAAAAGAAATGACAACATTGAGTTTATATTTCTTTCGTATTACCTGGATTACTTTATCTACAATATATTGCACATAAGTAAGCCACTCCATTCAGATCTTATTTTATTATCTCTTTCGTCAAAATCATTAGAGATAACAAATTGATTTTTTTTACTACTCATTATATTTTTTGTATGTTTACAATTATGTTGAGTATTCATCACGATGGGTCAACAAACCTACTTTCATTCGCATCTAAAATCCCTCATAAGTGACCAAACCAGAATATATCTATTTAAAAAGAAAACCATTAGGTCTTAATCCTAAAATATCTTTCAGTTTGTAAATTTTTCTTCAGTCACACCAGTTTTAACGGTCGTTAATTCAATTCTCCTATACTATTCGTATTCTACAAAATGTAAAACTCTAATGAAAATGCATGACTGAATCCATTGAATTTAAAACTTTAAATTCTGTGATTTATAAGAATAATAAATGTGTACATTCCCTGCTAGTAGATACTGCACTGCATTGAACAATGATTTAAATAAACCAGATGAAAGTAGAAGACCATTCATTTTTTTGTTACATAAAATTAGCAGACAAACGATAACTTTTAAAGACATTTAATTCGATTTCCAATAACTCTGTTATCGCATCATCGGATATTCTTCGACGTAGATCAGAAATTCTATAATAAACTCCAAATTGATTGCTCATTATTTCGTAACACACAAAAATAAAGCAATATTATTTTTTAACTAGCGGCTCGTCCTGGCTTCGCACGCGTGGACATTTTTACATTTTAAAAAGTAGTTATTGTGACTACAGATGGGCAAAGCACCGGGTTTAAACCCGGTGCTTTGGTAAAAACCCAATAAACACCCATAAACTCCCATAATCACCCAAAAAAATAGGTTTTTACGTATTTTTTTGAAAATATGTAAGTAATACCAATAAATTATTTTTATAAATTGTATTGATCAATTCTACAATATTAAATAAAACGTTAACTAATAATATTTCAGGAAATTTTAAAAATCTATATATAATAAAATGAAAGTAATTAATTTTCAGTGTTTTCATGTTGCAGTTGATCAACATGTTGGCCTTTTGCTTCCCGTAGATACTTTAAAATTTCTTCATAACACCTCGTTCGCACACATGGCCGTATATATTTAAATTCTTGAGCCACTAACAGTCCGAAATACTCATTTCTTTTATCCTCTTCTCCATAAATTAAGCATTTAGAACAGTTTGTTTCTTCTTTCAGTAAATTTTCTTTTACTTTATCCTCGTTTTTTTATTTGTTGCGACGACGCTGGGTAAATCATCTGGACACTGGGTCTCACTATCACCAAATATATTTGGAGATCGGCTTCGGCTACGGCTTGGCAGACATTTTTTTCTTTCTACAATTTTAAATTAAATTTATTAGAATAAATGCTTCGAACACACGCGATCTAAGTACCTTTTGTGTTTATTATACCTTACCTACCTAGGTATAAAAAGAGTACTTACGTAGATTTTCTTTTATTAACTGTTTTATACGAAGATCTTGATCTCTCAAATTAGCATCCATTTTACTTCCAGTGATTATCAACTAAATTAATAATCCACAAAGTATTAAATAACGTTTTTATGAAATATTTAGCACAAAAACAATACCCTTTAAATATCGATCGTCAGTAACTGTGGCTGACTTACCTATATTCTAGCAAGCAGGACTGCCAGATGTGAAGGGGAAATCCCCAATAAATTGTTGCATGTGACTGATGATGTGAGCATGTTCGTTTCATAATAAAAATGTTGCCAGGTAACCAAAAAGTCGTATGTTTTTGTGCGAATTACGATCATAATCTTTACGATCGTACATTAAAAAATAGACAAATAATAGTATGAGTACGATTTAAATCGTATATCTGTCAACCCTGCTAGCAAGACAGCGACAAAATCACGTTGCATAACAATGTAGCCCAAGCTTATATCTTATGAAATATACGGAAGAGATACGGACTTAGAAAAAACAGAAATGTTGTTCTTTGTGGAAGTCATTGATGAAATTCTATGTATTTTAGCCCGCAAACTTTCTTCAAACAAAAACAGCGCCATCTAGTATCGAGTTCTGTAATTATCTCTTTGTTTATGGATTTGAAGTAAGACCGCCACGCATGCAATACATTATGACTGGGGATTCCCCTATTCGTCGACGCTGAATATGAGGCGACGACAATCACTGTCAAACGTGTTCACTATTACTCTGACTCTGGTAACGTGACTTCCTGGTAACGTGTTAGGTAGGAAAAGCAGTAAAAAAGTGCATATTAAGGGAGCAGATTTGAAATAATATTTATACTTAACAAGAAATAATTAAAGGTAAGTGGATTTTTGAATGATACAATTATATCATGATCACTTAACAATTTTAACTTAAAATTAGATGTATTATTACAAGCTTTTATTTAGCTTGCGTTATGTAAATAAAAGTATGTAGGTATGTTCGTATGTTGATGCAATTATCCTCAATCCTCAACCGACTGGGATAAAATTTTCCATACACGTTTATTTTGGATGATAGTGCATAGTTAGCTGAGAGTCGTCATTGGATAATAATGGTGGATAGCCTAAGATGTGTACTAGATATTTATTTTTAACATAATATGCGTAAGTACCTAATCGAATTAAAGAAGTTGCTGAGAAAAATACAGAACAATACGATAATAAACTAGCGTCTGCGTTTAATCCTCCGAGGAGATGTAATTTTACAAAGGTTTTTTGTATTTATTTTATTATTTTTTTAATAAATTTATTGTAAATAACAAGAAATAATCATTGTAAAAAAATAGGCACTCTATTGTTGAATTTTCGTCAGACCAACTAATCATCGTTCATTTTTTTAGGTTCAATGGGGAGACCTAAAGATTTACGCATATGGGAGCACTACCGTACTTTACCAAACAAGTCTGTTTCTTGCAAGCTTTGTAATAAGGTCTACAAATTCAGTAATGCTGCCAAAATGCTTCAACATCTTATCACTTGTCCAAAATCTCCAGAAACATTAAAAGACTCTATGAAACTTATAAAAGATAGCTCGTCCAAAACCAAAATGTCTGGACTGTCAGAGATAGAGACAAATGATTCTTTTATAAGCCCCTCGTCGTCTGCTAACACTACAATAAATGCTGAGTTTCAAGACACCGATGATCATATAAAAACAGAATTAGCGAGAGCTATATTTGTAACAGGGACGCCATTATCGATGGTGCAACATCCTTTATGGATACAATTTTTCGAAAAATTGCAACCAAAATTTAAAATACCTTCACGTAAAGCTTTAGCGACAAAATACTTAGATAAAATATATAGAGAAATGCGTTTTGAGTTAAATGAGGAACTAAATGCTTGTAGTTACTTACACCTTCAGTGCGATGGCTGGTCTAATTTAAGAAATGAAGGAATAATAAACTTTCTTATATCAAAACCTCAACCTGCATACGTTAAAAGTTTGAATACAGAAAGTAATCCTCACACTAGTGAATACCTTAGCCAAGAAGTTGAAAAAGTAATGAAAGTGTATGGAGCAAATAAGTTTCTTGTACTTATTGGCGATAACGCTAGAAATATACAAAAGGCATTCGAATTAACAAAACTCAAATATCCACATGTTGTTCCTCTCGGTTGCTGTGCACATATCCTTAACTTGTTGTGCCAAGATATTGTAAAGATACAAGAAGTAACTGTGTTTATTATGCAAGCCATAAATATAATAAAAACTGTTAAAAGGAGTCAACGATTAAGTTCCTTGTTGATAAAATCAAGGCAGGGTGAAGATTCTACACAAACACTAAAATTGCCTTGTGCTACAAGATGGGGAAGTCATGTTACTTCGTTAAAAAGTTTGAAAGCAAATAAGATAGCTTTGCAAATATTAACAGTTAGAGAAGATGTGGTAATTTCAAGAGATATTAAAGATTTAATTCTAAGTGATGATTTCTGGACGAAGACAGGGGAATGTATAAGTATTTTGGAACCAGTCACTGAAAGCATATTTTACTTAGAGAGCGACCAGAATCGTTTGCATCGCACATACATTACATTTAGAGATGTACAAGCTAAGATACGTTTTGCATTAAATGAGATTTCGACATTGAGCGAAGAAAGCAAACAGCAGATTCTAACATCAGTATCTTCAAGATGCAATATGGCAATGAGGCCAATACATTTTGCAGCATATATTCTAGACCCCAGGACTCTAGGAGTCGAACTTACTCAAGAGGAAGAACTTAAGGGTATGGAGTTTATCTACAATTTAAGCCAACACTTAAGTTTGTCAAATGTAATGGCAGATTTGGCGTGTTATAAAGCTAAAGAAAACTTTTGGGCCAGAGGATTTGTATGGAGCTCATTAGATAGCATTGAGCCCCTAATATGGTGGAAAGGTATTTGTGGTTCCACTGAGTTAAGCAAAGTAGCGATTCGTATTCTATCAGCTCCCTGTACTTCGGCAGCCACTGAGCGTTCCTTTAGTATCCAAGGCTACATACATAATAACAAAAGAAATCGACTTACAACTGAAAGAACTGAAAAAATTTCATTCATTTGTTATAACTGGAATCTTAAACATAAAGCTGAATGCGAGGACATTCAGTTTAATGAAGAAAATACCTTAGAAGCTTTCATTGAGCAAGTAAATGAACATAACAGTTTAGACGAAATAGAGCCTATCGAACCTATACAATTCATCGCTTGTAATAACTCTGAATCTGACAGTGATTGACTGTAGTTTTACATTTTACTTTCATCTCTTTCTTAATAAACTCAAAATCAAATTAAAAGTTTTTTATTCTGTAGGCTGCATAATAATATTGTCTATGTCCAGTATAGTGGACGTCTTGCGGCTGAGATGACGATGATGAAGTACAAAATCATAAACACCCAAAAATTTGGGTGTTTATGGGGTTTAAACCCAATAAACCCAAAACACCCGGTTTTTACCCACCAGACTTTAAACCCACCCAGGTGGATTGCCCATCTCTAATTGTGACATAACGATATCAGTTGGACATTTAGTATCGTGAAGTTTTTTATAGTTATTGATATTTTCTTCAATATTGTCGAACATACTTTTGTTCTGTCACCAATAGTTTCCGCAGCGCACGCGACGAAAGATATTTTGTAGCATTTTTTTACACCTTGAGTTACGTTACTAAAGTTTTAGTAAGGATCTCTAATCTTTTCTAGCAATAAATTAGCCTATGTTACTCAGGGTGAATGTAGCTTTCTAATAGGAAAAGAATTTTTGATATCGGTAAAGTAATTTTTGAGATTATTCATTACAAACATACACACACAAATACAAATCTTTCCTCTTTATAATATTAGTGTAGATGTAGATATGTAATAACGAAGAATTGAAAAAGATATTGTAAATGAGATTAGGTATTAATGTATGTAGATTAAGTAATTGAAAAAGAAGAATTAGCTTTTTAATAAAATAAGATTTATATTAAATATAATCAAAGTTTTTTATAGCTGACAAGGTCTGTCGAGTGTGAACTCAAAGTTTAATACTGTGGCTGATCATAGACATTTTCTTTAATATTTCTTCCGTAGTATTTTTTATTTTTATATAAACATGCATGTTATTATACTGATATTTTTGTTTGCTATTTAAAACGTAATTGATTACAGAAAAAAGAGATGTTTGGCGGAGACAATTTCTAATTAAAGGGATATCAAGTGAGAAATATAGCAACAAATACTATATTTTATAAGACGTTACGCAACACACCGTAACTACATCTTTTTAAAATATCAGACAAATTAAGATAACTTTCCGCTTTACACTTCACAAAAAAATACAGAGTTGAGATAGAAACAAATACATTCGGTAATACATGATGCGTGTTTATTCGAAACGTAATGTAACAAAGTCCTAAAAATAAACAAGAACAAATAAGAAGTATTTTCATTTCATATTCGGCGGATAAGTTTTAGTTAGAGATTGAAGAGGTGGTGAATAAAGCAGTTTCAAAATGTACCATTATATAGTAACCCACTTACTGTAAAGTACAGGATAGTCGGCGGGAGTTCCTCGAAGCCGCGCGACTCGCAAATTGCTATGTCACTTGCACTCCTTGTTTTACTGTCCATTACACAACTTTATGGCACTCCAGTTTGTTTATTTTTATGTCCCTCGTTTCGCTGTGTAAGTGTGCTTATTTCAAGTTAGACAAGTATTCATATTGTTAAGGAATAGGCGTATTAAGAATATCTGAACATTTTCATTATTTATTCGTTCTCGACGTCTTTTCTGCTGTTTTTCTACAAGTATTTTTGGTTAGCTTGTGTTTTTTCCTTTCAATCATCTCTATCTCTATTTGGAGTAATCTCAGTGTTAATTTTTTTCTATGTTATCTTTTGAATTAGTCCACCTTTTTGTAGGTCTTTATCTGACATACGGTCATGTACAATCATATTTTACAATTTTTACTTATACGTACTATGGATTCAATTAAAATGTATTTAAAAATACGTAAGCTATATTACAATTTTTGCTTATCTATAGGATCTGATAGTGATACATAAAAGTGATGATATAAGTTAATTCATTCTTAAAGAATCCGGTAGTGATTAATACTTTTTATTGCAATACTGATTAATAGATACTTTTAATCGATGATTTTTTATGCAACTTAGAACAGCAAACAAGCTGACAGCCCACTTGATGGAAAGTGGTGACCGTCGCCTAAAGACATGAGCAATACCATGGACATAACAGAGTATACTGTTTCGCCCATGATACATCCCATGTGTTGCCATTCCTGAGGACTCAGGTGTTATTCCTCTGTACCCTTTAAATTCACTGTTATATCCCACCCTTCAAACTGAAACACAACCATGCAAACACAACTGTTTCACGATAGAAACACGAATGGGACAGAGGTACCCAAGCAAATGATTTTTGTACCAAGTCTCCTTCTGGTAACATTCTAATAATAAAAAATAGATATATTACAAGTGAGACGTATACATATGCATCCACTTCCGCGAAACTGGTAAACACTAGTTATCTTATTTACTCTTTTTTGTTTCGATTACTCTATTTCTTATCAAATACGTGCTGTTGCTACGTTCAGAACATATTTCAGTAGCGGATCTTTAAAAAAACATACCTTATTTTATATTAGAAAAATTAGCAAAAGAATTATCATATTTTATTTTATATTTTAAACATAATCGCCCAAATAACACAAAATATAATTACACGAATATTAATATTTAATATTTTACATTTAAAGATTTTTTAAAGTGAAGATTTTATAACAGTGTTGATAAGTCATTCGACATGTTGATAACACCTAGACATAATAAAATGATAAAAAAATCTTCCTATTCAGAGCCGACCGAACGAACGCGACACGCTTATGTCTGGTGGTTTCTCTTTTCAATGAAACGTAAATCATTTAATAATTAATGTAATTGACTTATTTTTTCAATGAGTAATTTTATTATTACGCTTTTATTAGTTTGTTCAATACAAATACAGTGGATGTGAAATCTGTAAAAGTAGAATTTAAAATATAGACGATTTTTAAAACCATCGACTTTATATAATGTAGACGTTTGGTCCCATGTGGTCCCGGCATAGAATGAGACACTCCTGTCGTAGGAGGCGACTGAGGGAACTTAATGTGGAGGAATAGGAAGAAGCGTCCCTCTTAAAACATCATCAAAAGTCTAACTGCGGCTGCCAATCCATCTGACAAGCGTGGCAACTACTGGCAAAACCCCATTTTATGAAAGAGGCATATCTTCAACAGTGGACAGTTGTTAGCTGATATGATGATGATGATGCCATTAATAATAATATTTTTAATAATGTTATTATTAAAGAAGATACTGTATTCATACACAATTCACACAATCATCACATTTACTCAATTCATACATAGAACACAGAACCATTCACAAATACAGCACATACGCAATATAGGGAGGGCAAGGAAGAAAAAGAAGGACTTAAAAAAATATCAATAAGGGGATATACTCGTAATGTACCTTTTCTCCGGTGGGTTACAAGACTAGGTATATATTAAAGCCAAAATAAGTCGAGAAGTAAAAACAATAATTGTAATATATTAGAAGATTTAATATAAAAAATATAATGGAATTTAAAAGATATTCCCGTATTGATTCCATAAATATGAAATGGGTGGTAAGAAAAATATGGGCATAAGATAAAAATATGTGATAATTGGTGTCTAGAGAAACTGTAAATGTGTTATGGAAAGATCCAAACGATGAATATGTCTTCAAGAGGTAATTAACATCATATTATTGGTACTCCTATGTCGCAAACGTTATTAGACTCCGGAACAGTTTATCGTCATATATACTGTATATTTGTCTATAGAATAAAAAACAAACATTATCAAAACATCACAAAGGTACAATTTTAAGCACCATCAAGGTCTGTCGATATGGAAACCATTTGTTTTGCATTTTAAGGCCACTTCCTGATTCGTCAGTACGGTGTTGGTAAGCGCGCGGCCGTACAAATCAGGAAGCATTCATTAGATTAACGCACTCGGTAAATATTATGTATCAAATAGGTACATAAGTTTTGTACTAAAGTAGTATCATAGATAAAGAACTGTTAGTACTTCTTATTGCTTGTTTTAGTTTGTATTAGTTTTATGGGGTTACAACCAGCCTGACTGAATGCAGGTGGCTTAGGATTGTTCCTTAAAGAACTCTATGCATTTGTTCAGCAATAAGCAGGTAACAACTGATGATGATGAAGTCAGCCCGAGTAAGAAACGTAAAGCAATTTTACGATATAAAGTGGTACTATGAAATATACCACAATGTATAGAATAACCAATGGTCCAATGCTTTTGGTATGAATCGACTGATCACATGATAATTACTCTATTCAGACTGGTAGAAAAGAGTTATTTATACTATGCTTAAAATATGGTCTAGCTTCTCTGTTAACTAACATAAAGTTCTTGTAATTTTTGAGAGCACGCGAATGAGTACGCGCATTTGTATTAAAACGTGTAAATATTGTTACAGTCAGTGGAATTAGGCACGCTTACTATCACTATATTCATATGGGCAGAGATAAAATATAAATATCTTGTACGTGTTTTCTTTTTCTATGATATCTAAGGCTAAGAAGAATAAAGAAACTTATCCAGAATACCACACGTATGTTACGCTCGTGAAGGTCCAATTTACCTCCTTTTCAATTAATATCAATAAAGCATAAGCCCTTTTAATTTGTGGTAGGTTAGAATCTGCTATTTGTGACTAGAAATATTATACATTATTTTTTCCATTCCATTAGCCACGTGCGTGACGCGCGAACTAATTTAATAACTTTGATAAAGAAAAAAACTCGCAAATTATCTAGCACAATTCCTTTTAGCTAACTATTTTGTATTTAATCAAATTAGCTAAATTGCATTTTTTTCAATTTTTCATTCATTTTACTTGTTATTATTTTACTCATAATCTCCTATCAAACAAGCTATAATAAATACAAACAAGAAAGAATATTGTAGTCTATATAGCTTCAGAAATGGTTAAGACCATTAAGAACAGACAAAATCAAGGGCGAAACTTATCTACCCTCGTATCATTATCAGTACTTTATCTTCGTATTATGAGGATCTTAACAATACGTTCAATTCTATAACGCCTCTTCCTTAGACTAAAACTAAATCTAAAATGAAACTTTAAATTGATGATTTGTTGAATTTGGGTATCTATTATGATCCTCATCACCATATCGTCATAGTCGTAGAATACTGACGGATATATATATGTAATATTTGTCAGATCCGTCAGTATTCTACGACTATGACGATGTAAGCCGTTAACTGTCCATTCATGTTCATTCTGTTCACATAGGCCTCCCTTTATGTGGGATTTTGTCAGTAGTTGACATGCTTGGCAAGTTGGGTTGGCAACCGTAGTTAGGCTTTTGGTGATGTTTTAAAAGGAACTCTACTACCCATCCCTCGA